CAGCAGAGAATGGATGGAGCAACACCACCACCACATTAGCGCAACCATGCACACACACACACACATTCAACACACACAATATACACGCACACACTTCCGCACCGCACGCACCTGTAGATGTCGCAGTCGTCTGTGCCGACATACATGTCGCTACCGCCCGGGGTGAGGGCGATGGAGGTGACGGCGCCGACGAGCGTGTTCTGCTGCAGCGGCTTGAGCGATTTGCTTGAGCAGCGCGCAATTGTGCCGTTGCCCGCACCAACAAGCAGCTCGCCAGTCGGGGTGGTGGCGATGCACGACACGCCGCGCGGGAAGGGGTTCTTTGCCGGGCCCGTGCCCTTGAGGACCTTGTGCGGGATGGAGATGATGACGACATCGCCCGTGCTCGTGCCGCAGTACGCAAGCTCGTCGTCCGCGCTGATTGCCATGCACGTCACCAGCCGCCTGATATGGGAGGGTCATGGGTGGGGATGGGGTTGTGTGGTGTGTGTGTGTGTGTGTGTGTGTGGTGTGTGTGTGTGTGTGTGTGTGTGTGTGTGTGTGTGTGTGTGTGTGTGTGTGTATGTGTGTGCGAGGCAATGGCGCGCCAGTGTAGTGTGAGGGCGTGGGTGCGTGTTGCAGGAGAATGAGCACAGCCAGTCGCTGTATGTGCATGCGCAAACCATCTCTCTCGCTCTCATACACATTTGCACACACAACACAGCACACATGACCAGCTGCCTTTGGTCGAAAAAGCAACGACAATGATAACAGACAATCGTGAGATCATGCGCGTCGTGGTCTCGCGCACCTGAGCGAGCGGAGGACGCAGTTTGTTGGTGTGAGCGCGTGCGTGCGCGGGTTAATGTCCCACACGCGGATGGTGTACTTGCCACCAGACACAAATGTAAAGTCGTCTCGGTTTGTAAAGGACCTGGCACGCAACCATGATGATGCAGTGGTGAGATGGCATAAAGAGACGGAGTGTGTGTGTGTTTGTTTGTTTGTTTGTTTGTGTGTTTGTGTGTTTGTGTGTTTGTTTGTTTGTTTGGTTTGTTTGTTTGTTTGTTTGTTTGTTTGTTTGTTTGGTTTGTTTGTTTGTTTGGTTTGTTTGTTTGTTTGTTTGGTTTGTTTGTTTGTTTGTTTGTTTGTTTGTGCGTTTGTGTGTGCGTCGAATTCTCCCGAGAAAATAAAACAACAGCAAAGGTCAGCCTGACAGCGACACTGCTCTGAGCGTGAGAAACGTACAGGGTGGCGGCGTGTCCACCAGATGTGTCGGCGGTCGGAGCACCTGACACGTACATGGGGAGGAGAGGGGTGCATGGTCAACTGCAGTGAAGCGTTGCAAACAGGCATTGCCCTTGTATTTTAGCAGCATATTTGCACTTGCGCGCTCACAACCACCACCATCACCATCACCACCACAACCATCACCATCAAGATTGCCACCTGCGAGGGCCTGGCCAGACTCGACGTCCCAGAGAGCGAGCGTGCCGTCATCTTCGCCGCCGAGTGACACAAGAAACTTCTCTGTGGGCGAAAAGCTCAGGTCAGCCACCTTCACCTGTTGTCGTCGCAGCCGTGGATGGAGGGGGGATATGAGGTGGTGATCATTGGAACGTTGGAATGCCGTACACACACACACACACACACACACACACACACAAGATGGCGACGTGCAGGTGTTGAGCCAAACCTTGTGCAGGGTCAGGCGGTGCTTGAGAGCGAGGGTTTTGAAGTCCCAGATGATGATGTCGGCAGCGTAGCCCTGGTGGGTGATTTGCCCACTCGCAATGTATCTGCAGCACAGCAAGGAAGGGGGCGGGGAATTGAGTCGGGGAGGGTACGAGAGATGTTGAGAGAGAGTTGCGAAAAGTGCGTCTCCTAACATGGCGTGCAAACAACACAAGCGAGCGACCACACACACACACATACACACACACACACACACACACACACACACACACACACACACACACACACACACACACACACACACACACACACACACACACACACACACACACACACACACACACACACACACGAGCAACCACAGACCATCACACCTTCCGCTTGGCGACACTGTGACGCAAGACACTTTGTCGGTGTGGCCTGCACAGGCAAAGAAGCAGCAAAGCGGAGGTGTCATACACGTATTCAACAAAGCGGGCACGCAGGCACGTTTTTGTTCGTTCCCAGCGCACATTCAATACAGGCTGTCATGTGCGCCAAGGCAGCAGGACAAGCATGTTAGGCAACCATACCCTGGAGGAATTGCTGCGAGCGCTTGCCGCCGATCTTCTCCACAACAACGGTGCAACCTGGTTATGGGATGATGGAACATCATGGCGGTAAGGACATGCTTGCTTGAGCGGAAACAAGGCATGTGCCATCGTTCATACCTTCACACATGCAACAACGACCACACACTTACACACACACACACACACACCACCAACGTTCGCATGCAACGAGCACCACAACTACCACTACTGCCACACACGCACACCAACACCTTCACATAAACACACACACGCGCGCGTGTGCGCACCAAGTGGGTAGACGAGGTGTTGGCGCTCTGGATGAACGTGCAGGCCATCCCTGACGGAGCCACCAAAGCCAATGGTGGACAGCAGCTCAAGCTCTTGCATTGCTTGTTTTGTTTGTGTGAGTGTGTATGTGAGTGTGTATGTGAGTGTGTATGTGAGTGTGTATGTGAGTGTGTATGTGTGTGACAGTAGTCGAAGTTGTGTTCGCAGTTGTGGTGGTGGTTGATCGTGCGGCAGGTGTGTGTTGTAGTCGCGGGTTGGTTGGTTGGTTGTGCAGTGTTGTTGTGGGTTGGATTTTGTGGTTTGTTGGCAAGGCAAGCGAGAAAACTGCTGATGTCAGCGAATTCCAATTTGTGCTGTCTGACTTCATGACGGCCCTGAGTCCATGACGTCATTCCTTTTGTGACCAGACGGATTCGTGGAATGTGCAGCAGTTTACGCCAAAGCGATAGGTCTGCTCCGAACCACACACAAACAAGGCAGCAAGAAGCAGGCAAAACACGTGTGGTGAGGAAGCACACTGCACACAAACGCCAACAACAAGTGGGAAGCAAGAAGGTGCAGCACCACCACCAACACAGTTGCAACCAACCCCGTCCGTCATTCACGCTCGCCCTACCCTCCTTTACACAAGACAAGGCAACCACAATCAAGCAAGCCCGAGCCGAGCCGCCTGTCGGCCATCCCCCGCCTGCATAAACAAGCCATTTGCTCTGCATGAACTGGACTCCTTCCAGCCTTCCAGCCTTCCAGCCTTCCAGCCTTCCAGCCTTCCAGCCTTCCAGCCTTCCTTACTTCCTTCCTGCGTTCCTGCGTTTCTTCCAAACGAACCTCTGCCTATCATCTCACACAATAGCCGAGCCTGCGCCTCGCTTCTGCCTTCTTTCAACTAAACGCCGCGACACGACACGTTTCAGCAGAGCACCCGCAGCACCAGCAGCACCCACACTCACACGCGGTCGCACGGCTGACGGGAGACAAACAACCTATTCGCCGCTTGGACACTGCAATTTCAGCCGATCGCAAGCAAACTACAGACACGAACAAGAGCGCCGCCGCAATGAGCAAGAGCAACTTGGGTGGTCATCTGAAGAGCTCCTCGGAGTTCAAGCTGCCTTCTCTTCCAAAGCACCTGACCTCGGAGAAGCGCCCGCGCCGTCGCCACAGCATTGAGGTGTCCAGCCTTGCTGCGTCGTCGCACGCCTTCGGCCTTCCTCAGTACTGGGGTGCGCCAAACGAGGAAGACGAGGCGGAGACTGAGGGGGAACACACGGATGGGTCTGGTGAGCTGAGCGACAGCAGCAGCAGCTCGCCCACCCACCACCGCCACCAACGGTCGCCAAAGCCGCCACAGCAGCTGCGCCGACGCCGCTCCCAGCAGCGGCCCATTTCCAGTTATCCAGCACCTCGGCACAACTCGAGGCAGCAGCACAGCCCGTCACAGTCGCCCATCGTGGAGCTGGCACAGATCCGACGCGCGTCCCTCGCCGTTCTCCCAGAGCTCGATCAACACATGGGCAACAAGCCCAGATGGCGACCCGAGGACGCCACGGATGAGATTATCCGCCAGGTGTGTGGTGTGTTTGTGTGTGTGTGTGTGTGTGTGTGTGTGTGTGTGTGTGTGTGTGTGGCTGTGTGTGTGGCTGTGTGTGTGGCTGTGTGTGTTTGTTTGTTTTGTTTGTTTGTGTTTTGCTTGTGCTCGTTGCATGGTCTCCTCAGACAGCCAATCGCTCATCGGCGCAACAACACATTCTGTAACAGGAGGCCAAGGACACCTCAAACGTGCGCGTGTTCCAGTACTTGAACTTGCCAGCAGAGCTTATCGACGAAAACACGATCGTGGAAGCCAGTCGACAACGGTGAGTTAACCCAGCCGATTGTCCCGCGTTTTACTTTCACACACACACACACACACACTACACACACACACACACACACACACACACACACACAAGCGTGCATTGTGTGTACTTGTAGACGAGCTTGTGTTCTGACAAACCCTGGTTGCGATGCTGCTGTGCGTGCCCTGTGTGTTGTTGTGCATGACGTCTCGCATGTAGGTTTGAGAGCGCGGCCGCAAGCCGCAAGGTGGCGAGACCGACAACCCAGGCCAGTCGCTCGCCGCCAAACCCACAAGCAACTGCCAGCCTGAAGGAGGCACGCAATCGCCGCCTAGGCTATGGTGCATGGTACCGAAAAGCAAACAACGTACGTGTTTACATTGTGCATGTGTGTTTGCGCATCGCATGTTGTGTGTGTGTGTGTTGTTGTTGTTTACGTTGTTGTAGCGTGTGAGTGTGTGTGCGTGTTGTGTCGTGTATGCCCTCCGTGAAGTGGAACACGCTTCCTACACACACAGGCATTGTTTTGCTAGGCTCTTCTGTACTGTTCTCATCCACAATGCGTTGCTGTGGCTGCTTAGTGGGGCAAAGAGCCGCGCAACGAGGACGAGCTGTTCTCCACAAAGTGCGTGCAGCCGAATGCCCATGCCACTGCTACGAATGCAACTAGTCTCCTGCTCCAACTGCTTTGTTGCGGGCTGCGCTCCAATGGAAGTGAATTGGTTCTGATATCGCCCTTGTATTCTGCTCATCATGACGTAGGGCGTCACCGCTGAGCGATAAGTTGCGGTCATGCACC